TAGTATTTAAGTCATTTCATCAATAGACAGGAGTATAGGTATTTATTCGTAGTACCTAAGTTGTACATTGTATCCTTCCTAATTTCTGTATCTTTGTCCCAAATATTTTTTTTAATTTGATAAATTCATCTAAAAGGATCAATGTTTCGTTGTGAGTTCGCTTATATGTTTAGCCTCTTACCTCGAAGAATTAATCATTAACGAGGCAATAACAACGAATCTGCTTGCTTCTTATTTTAAATAATTAATCAGTAATATTATTGAAAATGATAAAAGATAGAAGTCAATGGATGAAACGTTTGACTTAGACGTCTTTCAGATCTTGTTCCGAATGTCATGTAATGGAAACTTTACTATTCGCGATTCAAGTTAAGTGATACGCCCTCTGGAGGAACTTTGTAGAAGGTCCCTATAAGTAGGATATTGTTCAGTGTTGCCAGAAGTAGCAAAATTTCGCTACGTCGGATTTTAGCTCTTGAAGAAGTGGATAAGACAAAGACATTGGATAAGACCTTTTATTTAAGAATCAAAATTTGTGTTTAGTAGTATGTGATCATACTTTATATTTATTTAAGGATTTTTTTATAAAACCGATTTATTAGGTATATTGATTTTTTAAAATTTTAGTTCATTTATTAATTTTGTTTTAAAATCAGTTCATCATTTGGCAACATTGGCGTTCGTGTTCATTGTTTACATTTTAATTTGTATCAATTACAATTCGAGTTTTTGCTTACTTTTTAGCTTTAAATTTGTTTATTTCTCATAGTATGTGATAGTGTTTATATTAAAAATGAAATCTGCGAAAAAGTCACCAGCAAATTGCAATCTATATGGTGTTAATGACAAAATCATTATAATTCGCTAGGGAGCATTAAAATTGGAATGCAGACGACTGGAGCTTTGTGTTGTTTACCGATGAATCTTGATTTTGCTTACAATGCTCAGATGGTCGCGAAAGAGTCTGGAGAAGAGAAAGTGAACGATATGCCGAGTACACTCCTAGCTCTAGGGCAACTTTTCAAGGGGGTTCAATTATGGTGTGGGCTGGAAAATCTTCGGAGGCGCGTACATAATTGTACATGGCCCTTAAGGATCTGTGACTGGGACAGGTACATAAATAAGATCCTACAAGATTATGTTGTCCCATATGTACCATTTATTGATGACAATTCATACGGATGCATGACAGTGCATGTCCTCATGCCGCCCGCATGAGGATATGTTATTCTTATTACACAAATGACATGGCCAGCGCACAGTCCCGTTCTAAATCCCATCGAGCATATTTTGGAACATGCTCGGTAGAAGTAATCGAAGCCGAGTGCCTGCTCCTTTTACCTTGGATCAGCTTAGAGTGGCTCTTTTAGAGGAATGGAAAGGAATTCCACAGAATGAAGTATTTAACTTGATTAACAGTATGCCTAGAAGAATGAATGCGGTTATACAGGCTCGTGGATTTAATACGAGGTATTAATTAGACAGACAAGTAGTAAATACTGTTTTGTTTTAATTGTTTTTTGTGTTTCTGATGATAATGGTGTAACTGTTAATAAATTTCTTTTCTTTGTGATAATGTTTACACTCGTGTTTCTCTTGAAATAAAAGCTTTCCGAAAACATTTCTTGAAGAGAGCACACTTTAAAAGCATGTACCAAACCGTGTCTAACATGGACAAAAGTTTCAATAAAAAACCATAACATTTGAGCATTTTAATGATATATTAAACAACCCCACAAAAAAAAATATCCAGACTTGAAGGTCAGACACATGTATTTCCAAGGCGGAAGGGCCAGGACTGGCTCAAATCAAGTTCCTGAGGATTTTCGAGGTCGCTGATCACGATTATGATGTTCAAATTAAACCACAGCCAACCTGAAGCTCAGGAACACCGATGAACGTTATCTACGGGGACTATCCCAAAATTCACGCAAGTAATGAGAGAAACTCAGCGCTCGAGGGATTTTTGGGTTGCTGAATTCAAATATAACATCGGCGAACACCCCTTGGACACCCGGTGTGCTGGAACCTGCACGTGTACGTCATCTCCGAGAAGTTTTTTGCCAAGATTGCCAAAAACATGCCGCAAAACCTTGTAGAGGAATTTTTTGGGGCCCTTGATCCAAATTTCACATCGAAAACGATCCCCGAACACCTAGTGCACCGAAAAGTCGTCTCCGAGGGTTCTCCAGACACAATCGCTAAAGACTAACCGAAAATTGTTATGGGGGTTTCTAGGAACGCGGAGTCCAAAGTATTCATTATTTTCCAAGTGCAAATCGTAAAATTTTGTTTCTTATGATAAATGGATATCTACAAATTCACAATATTGAAATTTTGCAAAACTTTGTTTAGAATCAAACTGTAATCTGATTTGTGACAGTTTTATTACCATTTACATGTATACAAGGTACTACACAATTCACTTCTTAATATAAGAATAAGGATAGTAAGATTTTTAAATAAGTTCATCAATAATAAACGTCAGGTACGTGAAATGTCCTTTAAACCACATAATAGAACATGTCCTGGGTTTCGTAAATACATATTTCTAGATGTTCTTGTAGCAATCAATAGGTGAATATTTCCAACAAATTAAGTCATTCACATGATAAATATTATATTTATGACGAAAGCACGAGAAATAAACTTAAATTAACACTAAATGAAACTCAAAAACACTATTACAATGAGAATATTATCTAAAAACAGTTAAAAAAATCACAAATACAAAATCCGACCAAAACGAACACATGTAAATAAACAAACATCCTACTTATAGGTAACAAATGACAGACGCGCCAAAATTAATTTGAATCGCGAATAGGCGAGTTCGGCTTAGTTGACGTTTCGCGTTCTGTTCCAGAGATGTGATTCGTTATTGTAGTTTACGATGTTCAGAATGTTCGGTACGCGCTAAGAAGTTTTTCTGCGAACATCCGTTCTAGAAATTAATGTGAGGACCAGTTTTTGGATCAGCAAGCAAGTAACGTTTAATAGTTGTCAGGGAAAAAAATCTTAATTTATGTCACCTTTGAGTCTTGTAGGTTTTTTTTAGATTTTTTAGTACGAGTTTTTGGATTTTGAGGAATTAAGTAATTTAAAGATAAATTTCCATTGTGTAGTGATAACCCATTTCACACCCGCTTATGGGGTTTTGTCGACAAAAAATTGGAAGTCCATCTACATTACAGTTTTGTAGTTTTTTGAAGTGGATTCTTCAAATGTATTTTTCGTTATACATATATAGGTCTTAACTAATAAGTTAATAGTATATTGTTTTCAACATTAAAAGTTGTTGATAATAAATAGGTACGAATGTGCACATGTAGTATTGTGGAGTTGTAAAAAGGAAGAAATTAATATTTTACTAGTTAAATTAAACATACTACTTAACATCTTGTGCATTTTGTCCTTCGCTTGGTACCATGCTAACGATTTTCTTCGCCATATTTTGATGAATTTATTATTTTTTTGGGTTTATGCATATGACATACGATAATTTTATATTTTCTCTAGATATATTTTTATTTAATTATGAGTTCATCATAAGCTGTAGGATAATTTTTATGTTGAAGTTCTTGAACAATTTAAATATTGTATTTTTAATAAGTTAGTTCTGTAACAATAAATTTAAATTTGTTTAATGACGAACGTATTGGCTATGTTTGTAGTTTAGTTTCTTTAATAATAATTTATAAATTGGGTAAATTGGGCGAATTCATTATAAAGGAACATAAGTTTGCGGTTTGTCTCTTATTTCTTTCCTCATTTACTAGGTTTGTGGGGAAATAAGATCATAGTTTGGCCATTATATGAACTTAGTTGACGTCCTCCAATTTGTTTATTTCCGGAATTAAGCTATCCACCCCCTAGATACCGTCTGAGCGACGTCGAAGGCCGGTAGGTTGATACCGGAACAACCGAAACTTATGTAATTGCAATAGACAAAATTTTATTGGTAATTTTTATTTTTAAAAGTTCAGGTTTAGATAGTTTCTCTGAATGGAAGTTGCACATTATTTTTGGTAGGTTACAAACATTGAAGTAATATTTAAATTTAGTAATATCGTGTGATCGTAAAAAAAATCTTGTGTAATTCGAGTGGAAATATATTTGCCGCTTACGATAATTTGTTGTGCTCCGGTGACGCGTCGCGCGGCAGTTTTTTATCTCGAGCGGCAAAGTAGTAATTTCCGCTCTTAATACACAAGTAGCTATTTTGATGTAATAAATAATTACCTACACAAAAAAACAATTAAAACTTAATTGTATTTATTCTTTATGCACATATTATATAAGTACAAAATCAGTCCTACTCATTTCTAAAAATAAAATTTAATCCATTTTCATTTATAAACAACATCTCGTATCTTCGACATTTTTATAAATTACACTTTCCATTGTATCATCCTAATCTTTACAGATAAATTTCGAATCTAAATTACTCGACGTGAACGAAATTTGACTAATCAATTATAATAACTTCAAAAGCGCGATAAAAACAGTATATTGATAAGATAACGTTTTATTCGAAAATCATAACCAGAGGTATCCAGCGATTGTGTAGGTGTTACGTTAATTATATTTTTGTAATGTTCCTGAAAGTTGTGAGTCATAGAAACTACAGGTGTATTATTTGTTAGGGATCTGTATCATAAGAGGTATATAATGGAACCATTATGGTAAGGCTTTACGCCTCTGCCTATCTCTATGCCAAGCCGTTGACAATGCCCATTATTATTTTGTAATATTATAAAATAATCTACTGTGATTTGATAATACTTAAAATTCGACCACATACAAGCATTGAACCAGTGAGGTTTGGTATATAATGCAATAATTACACAATCTTTTCTTTGACCCTCTACGATAATTCAAGTTTTTCAAAGGATACATTTCCTTCTACAATCTACTGGTCATTCATTCATTCATTCATTCATTTACTTTTTAATATTTTTCTTTTGAGAACCTTATAATTATTTGTTTTTTATTTGCAGAACTGAAACATGGACGAACTAGTGTGGGCCCGGGATAATACGGAGGGTTACATTTTGGGCAAGATAGTCGAACTAACCGACGATGGTGCAGAAGTCATCCCGCTTAGTTCGAAATATCCAAGGAGGGTGTTGCAATTTAGCGATCTCTTTAGAGCCAATCAAGATACGGAAAAAGATTACGATGACAACTGTAAGTATATTATATTACATTACTAGTTTGAAAAGTGAAAATTTACTTTTACACCAGAGTTGTACAATATTTTTCCTACAATCAAAAAATAATTTCATCTGAAAATGTAAAACCAGGAAATTTGGGTATGGAGGTTCAGTCAATATATGGCTAGCTCTAGATTTGTTTGTTGTATGCTTTATTGAATAATTTTTAAAGTGTTTCACGGTTGGTGTTTCGTTTATTGGAAAATAACATTAGGTGCAAAAAATATTTGAATACAATAATGTTTGTCATTAGTTAATTTTTTTAAACACAACAAATGATAAGATGAACAACCGTGAACGAGAACTTTTTTATTTTTAAAGAGATACCTGATACCTCATTACAATTTTTTCACAGTTATGAAAATAGTACAGAATAAATAGCGGAAAGTTAACGAATTGCCTAAACTTTTTAGGTTATATTATAATAAAAAAATATATTTAAAATTAATAAACAATCATCGTATTTTTTTCAATTTTCATACTAAAAATAAAAGGATTGCTTCTACCGGGAATTGAACCTGCGTTGATTAAGTTGAACACTCAACAAACAGCTAACAGGATTTATATCAAATGAATTATCTAATCGAATATGTGTATTAATCGAAAATCATGTAGTTATTTTTAAATTGTTACAAATAAATATCGAGTATATACCTAGGTATTAAAATGTTAACAATTTAATCATCAAATCGATTTTACTTTTAATATGGAGATTACACAGATCAAAATAAAAATGATGTGTCACATATTTAACAGCTGATGTGAAAAGTAGATTCATATTCACACACGAGCGGAAGGTAGATTTTTATCCACACTCGTGTGATAGAGGGCGCTTCCCATAATACTAAATAGTGCAATTTGGGTCATTTTCCTAAGTGGTCGTAGGAAAAAGTATTTATTTCCATCTATAGTCTAAATAAAAGAAGAGTGCAGTAAAAGTGGGGATATAACGTCATTTCCATAGGCGTTCCTTGCAAAATAAGTTTCTATAATATAAATAAGGTCACGGCATATACAATGGTATATACGCACTTCGTAGATTCAATTTTGAATGAAATAAGTTATATTATTCACACAAAATAAAAATAAACCTTAAGCTTCTGACAAAATTGTTGCACATTAACATTCAACGAATTAAATTTAACCAATAAGTAGCAAGGAGAATTATATGTTACTAATGAGATTAAACTATTAAAAGTAACACTTTAGTACCTAAAGTCAAAGATTAAAAAAAAATAAAAAGTTCAAGAACTATCTTTAAAAGTCACTGTCTTCTCTGTGACTACTGGTATCATTATCATTTTTGCAGATGAAAATATGATACATTTGGAAGATTGGGACTATTTTCTATTTCTGAGTGTAATTTTTAAAGTGAAGGAATTTCATTTCGAAAAAAATGTACCATTTGCCTTATTACATTCTTCACCAAGTTTCAATAAAGATATTGTTTCTTCCAGGGGTCTTTTTCGGACGTGAGACTTCTGCAATAAGTGTATTTTCTTTAATAATGTTATACACTGTCCGCTTAGATACTCCAGTATAGGTCTCGCATTTAGTGTCTATTTCATACTTAGAAAGTGAAACAAAGTCTTTTCGAAGATTATTAAATACATTAAGTACGATGTTTGTTTCTTCTAAAGATATGCTTTATGTCCACTGGGTCGTTTACGCGTACTTGTGAAATATTTTCTATTGCACAATGCACTCGCCATTCTTATATAACTGTAAAGTTATAATGTATACTAATACAAAATTCCGAATAAATTAAAATACATACGATGTGGCTATGAATAAATAAAGTCTGAGTTTTCTGTCAAAAGAAAAGGCATTATTACAGTAAAAACCATGGAGACATGATTAAATATAAACGAAAACTTTTATTAGGCCGATCAGATATATCAAAATTTTCATTTTAACTACAAATAAGCATTGAAGGATAAGGCATAAATAAAATGTGTACCTCTTGAACCTGTACTACGTTCTACAAATTAAATTACTACACTCCTTTCTTGTCTAGACTATACATGCCGTTCAATAATATTAAAATCGGGCTTGGCCATTGAAATTTTACACACTTCACTATGTTTAATATTGTTTCAAGATTATGGGCTGTATTTAATTTTCATTATGACTTGAATCAGCGTTGTCAAATTATTTAATATGAAAAAATCTCTGATCTAGAAAAAATTTACAATCAGTCCATTATAACCATAAATTAGATTGACTGCGAAACTTACCTCACTGATAATTTAAATGGCGTTAGTCCTACTAAATGAATAATTTTAGCCCAATTTCGGATGTGAAGTATGAATATATAAATCTATTTAAAATGTTCTAATAGATAAATCGTTTATTAAATATTAGAGAGGTATTGGAATTGAAGTTTTTTTGTCAAGCAGAATTTAGGAACGTCCTTATTTAAATAACGCTTTGCTTTAAGTTTATTAGTAATGAAATTTTAGTTATTGGAAATTATTTTAAAGTTAGATTTAAGTTAACTATTTCTAACCTAGAAAAATGTATTAAGAGTTTGCTTATTCTGCTTAGTTAAAGGAATTTATTATTATCTATCCAGAATATTAGAAATAGGAAGGCATATACTAAAAAATATAAAAGTCTAAATAGTGTTTTGTTTTCTTTTTTAATTTAAAATTGGTTATGCTGTCAAAATAAAGAAAATAAAGTTAACCATTAAACTAATACAGTATTTCATCACAAATAAGGAAAAGCACTGTATAATTATGATTTATCTTATTAAAAATTTCAAGTAGGTACGCATGCTTGAATGTCAAAATAAAGGCTTTAACTTTCTAATATCGGTATAATATTGTGGGTGTTCTGCATATTGTAAATAAAAATTGTACATTATTATAAAATGTACATTTGACATAACAGCTTTTAAATAACACTTAATGGAGAGATGTTGGTCAGCCACGTAACAATAAAATTCTTAACCTAATAAACTCTTCTATTAGGCATTCCAAACAAAATGGCTGCCCGTTTGAAATGACAGGCCACTGACAGGCATATGATAGGTTATAATATGGCAACACTGTAAGCCTGGTAGTTTGATAGGGTCAATAATATAGACAGTTATATAGATTGATCATCCATGGTTTTAAAAATAAACATAAGCTTATGCCTTTGAAGTAAAAATGTAGGAAATTATTTTTTTAAATATTCAAAGGCTGAAAATTGGTTTTAAAACACATTTTTGCTAAACTGATTCAAATTAGCCACGCAATATGTCCGCTCGCAAACGACCCCCTTTAAGCAATCTACATAATTATATAGGTATCATTGATCCTGTAATTAAAAAAATGCCCACAGGGTTGCCATATCTAAACTGTCAGAACCCACTAGTAGCCATTTGGACAGGTCGTTGGAATGCCTAACACAAGAAATATGTATACTTTCAAAACATGATAATATCCTATATGTATATTTACTCTTTATCAAAGACGTTGTTAATTTACGCCCGTTTTTGTCGTTACGTTTTCTGGCAGGCTGTTAACGAAGAAGAACAACTTTGACAATGTCAATATTAGTATACAATGTGAGCGAGCTGTCACTTTCATAGCCTCCTCCGGTCACGGCATATCATTGTGATATTTAAAATAATAGTATTCCGTCATGTTTAAACAAGATGTACAATTAATTGTAACAGTTACAAAGAAATATCAGATGGACATTATCCACAACAAACTTATATTAAGTCTGTAATAGGACTCTTTACGGGACACAACATTGCATAATTGGTACTTTAGCCACTTCCATTACCGACTGTACTTCTAGCCATAAACAAACAACGGCAACTCCGCAGCGAGTAAAGGCATTAAGTCTACGCACTACAAATTAGAGAGTTATTGCAAATTTCTATAACGTCAGCCACTAATAGTGACAACGTAATTAGACGCAAATAAATTCCATGCCAAAATAAGACTTATTGCAAACCTGAAATTTTGACATTAGAGTCGTTGTCACATACTTTGATTACTATACGGTGCAAGCACATACTTTGATTTTCTTTTACTATACGGAGAATGCGTAGCTTTCTGAGTGCCTTTTAAAAGGAGATAGAAAACTCCGCCATTGTGATCCTTTATTACGTGTTGCCTACATCTTGGCGCAATATTTTTAATAGGTGCGTTTTAATCATCCGCTTCTGCTTCGGAATTGTCGGTTTTCTTGTTTTAATCTGACAGGTTAAAACGACTAAACCGACAATTCCGGAAGCAAAAGCGGATGATTAAAACGCACCTGATATTTTGCTTGCTGCTGTCAGTGTCTGTGAATATTATTTTTGGGATCACAGTTTATTGCTAAAGAATCAGTTATTAGCTCACTCGGACCAGTTGAAAGTTCCAAAATAACATCCACTCCAGGGATACAAAATCGGGATACGTAGGAGACTGCTGTTTTATTATAGGCGGTCGTCATATATTGTATTATCCGAATTGCGCAGTGTATAAACTGGAACATTGAGATCAAAAGGGCCGACGCAGAGTGAGCGATCTAATTCTTTAGCTATAAACTGTGGCATAGGAATCAAAATGGCCGCGCCCTATGTTGGGCGTGTCGGACCTGTCTATTGCACCATATAGTAATCAAAGTATGTGGGTGCAAGAGAGAGGTCCGACACGCCCAACATAGGGCGCGGCCATTTTGATTCCTATGCTACAGTTTATAGCTAAAGAATCAGTTCGCTCACTCTGCGTCGGCACTTTTGATCTCAATGTTCCAGTTTATACACTGCGCAACTCGGATAATACAATATATGACAACGGCCTATATTCAAACAGCAGTCTTCTGCGCATCCTGAATTTGTATCCCTGGAGTGGATGTTATTTTGGAACTTTCAACTGGTCCGAGTGAGCTAACTGATTCTTTAGCAATAAACGGTGACTCCAAAAATAATATTCACTGACACTGACAGCAGCAAGCAAAATATTAAAAATATTGCGCCAAGATGTAGGCAACACGTAATAAGGGATCAAAATGGCGGAGTTTTCTATCTCATTTTAAAAGGCACTCAGAAAGCTGCGCAGTGCGACCATTCTCCGTATAGTAAAAGAAAATCAAAGTATGTGATTTACACACGTTTCTGTAATTTTAATTTGATAAAAATGCTATTATCTAATATCTATTACTCATGCGCAATTCTACTGTTAAAATGAAAAATTTATTTTTGTTATGTTTCCTACTCTGAGTTCCCATTAGGTATACATCACATACTTTGATTTTGTATGCATCCGTAAATGTCATTTTTAACTTTTATTATTAGTAGGGTAACCACTGACAATTTTCGATGTGTTGTTTGCGCAAGGCAAAACTACAAATATTTCGTTCATTCTTACCTTGTAAAACATTAAAATACTTTGCTAGTGCCTACAGCGATGGAGTCCTCGATGAGGACGTCTTAAAAAAGTCTGTTTAGAGAACGCCTTGTGCAAATGTGTACCAAAAAAGTGTCACTGGCTCCCCTACTATATAGACTAGATGACAGTTGTTTACACTGATCTGTATTTACAAGATATTTACAGATCAGTGGTTGTTTAAAGGAACGATGACAGAGGGTAATTGTCGTAGCCAAGCCAACAGTTATAAGGCGAGGATGAGAGAGATAAAAATAGGTTGTATGGAAAATTACTAAATTGCAAAGTCCTGCGCTTTTTTTGATCATAAGTAATGTGAAATTATCGAATAACGGGAAAGGTGGATTGTCAGTTTTTTAAATAGCAAATTAAACACATTTTTATAATAAAAATAAAATATATTTTTAACTCTAACAAAACAATCGGCAAGTTATCTATGTGACAAGCGTAATGAAATTAAAATGGCAGTTGGCCGGGTTAACCATTTTTTTTGCGGGAACGTCTTTGTCGCTTCTGTGTGGTTGTTATTCTCGGACAGTATGCTTTAAAAGTGTACTAAACGTCAGTTGAATGTATTGAAAATAGATTTAATGGCCGCGTTGCCAGATTTACCTTTGCTAGACTAGAAATTAGAGCCGGTAATGCTACTTAATGACATTTATTGACATTTTCATTTTAAACAACGTTTATTACCTCGAAATGATATTGAAACAAAAAAAAGCTATTTACTTTCACATCTGTATGGAAGTAACATGATGACTACCGTTTTTTAAATTTAATTGTCTTAATAAAGGTTTTGACAAATTTGAAACATTCGGTTAATTTTAAGGTTAAAATGTCATTCTGTGGAAGTGGCTATTAGGCATTCCAACGACCTGTCAAACAATAGGTGCCAGTGGGAAATTCTTGTATATTTAAGGGGGGTAGCGACATAGTCGTGCAACTTGGACACTATTTTTATTCGAAGTAGTACTCGCCAAGCCTGCCAATTTATGAAAAAATGTATAGGTGGGTTTTTTAAATATTATTTTTATTGTGTTTGACATAAAATATTTAAATGTAGTGCATTATTCATGATTTTACGTAAAGTAGATAGAATACACCATATGTCGCCACCCTTAGATATACCAAACCTGCCCACTGGTCAAATCAAATCAAATCAAATTTATTTGTTTAAATATTAAAGTACATTACCTAATAGTAAAAAAATAGTTATACAGAAAAAAAAAATTTTTAAAGACATCTGATTGAGCATGGAACCTAGGCATTTCTGCCTGTTTTGCTTCTGATCAATCAGATGACTCTATTTATGTACATATTTTTTTTAGAGACAGGTATTAAATTTTACATATAATTATTTATTACTTAACAAAAGATACAATATTTAAAAATTAGAACAAGGGACGAAGAAATTCGACAGAATAAACCGATAAATAAAAAGATAAATAAACAAGAGACAGTACCTTAGGAAAAGTAGACAAAAACTACGATGGTCCTTTTGGCTTTTAATATGTTTTTTATTTATAATATGTTATCATTAGATCGTAAATTTTTTTTTTGTTTGTTATTAAATATTTTTTTATTTCAATTTTAAACTTTTTTGTTTTGATTATTTGCCTGAGGTGTATCGGAATTATGTTAAAAAATTTTGGGCCAAAGAATGATAATGACCTTTGACTAAGTGATTTTTTGAAAAATTGTACAGGAATCTCCATATTAGCGACTGAGCGTGTTAAGCGGGTATTTTTTTGAGTAAAATTTTCAGCATTGGTATATATTCTCATTATACATTGATAAGCAAAGAGTAATTTGACGTTTAGTATGTTCGATTCATCGTACAATTTATTTGTAGAAAATAGTCTCTCTTTTTTTAGGATAATTTTTAAAATAATATTTTGTGTTGTCTCTACAATTTTAATAGTGGTGTTAAATGCTCCACCCCATGCTACTATGCAATACCTTAATATAGATTCCACTAGGGAGTTATAAAGTATCATTATATTTTTCTTTGAAAGAATGTCCCGGAGAACATAAAATTTGTGCATTAGGGCTCTCAGTCTATTACTAACATGGACAATATGCTCAGACCACCGTATGTATTGATCAAGTATTACACCTAGGTATTTAATTTGAGAAACTTTTTCTATCAAGGGGCAGTTACAATCGCTTTTTTGACAGTCACTACTATGCAATTTTATACAAAAGCTGTTAGGTTGATTAACGATGGTTGAACTAAAAGTAATGCATTTTGTTTTCAATACATTTAAAGTTAGTAGATTGTTATTTAACCATAAACTTATCTTTCTTAGGGCCGTTTCTCCAGCGAGTTTAACCTCTTCCCATTCTTTTCCAGCGAAAATAATTACCGTATCATCCGCATAGCATATGATATTCCCAGATAAGTTATTAATTTGTGTAATGTTGTTCATATAAACCAGAAACAGAATTGGGCCCAATACTGTTCCTTGTGGGATCCCCATCTTTACTACTGATTTAGAACTTCCGGTGTTGCCAATTTTTACGCTCTGGGTTCTATTAGATAAATAATCCCTCAGGAGCCTTAATGCTAAGCCCCGTATGCCATAGTTATTTAGTTTGTCAAGTAAAATGTTATGGGAAACGGTATCAAATGCTTTGGCCAAATCAAGAAATACTGCAGCGCATTTTAATGATTCATCTACAGCGTTAACCGTCTTTTCCAAAAAATCAACTACCGCATTTTCAGTGCTTGAGTTTTGTATAAAACCGTATTGACAATCTGTAATAACATTATGATTATGAAAAAAATTAATTAATCTACTTTTTACTGCATTTTCAAAAATTTTAGCGAAGTTGTTGATAACAGAAATTGGCCTATAATTTGTAAGCTCACTAGGGTCTCCGGATTTGTATACAGGTGTGACAATTGATTCCTTCCATTGACTTGGAATTTTTCCTGATTGAAAGCAAATATTAAGGATATGCGTTACAGGAAGAATAATATATTCATTTATATTTTTTATTGTAGTTGCTGTTAATTTATCTGGACCAGGTGCAGAGCTATTTTTTAATTTGCTTATTAAAATAGTTACTTCATTTTTTGTTACGGGTTTAAAGAATATGTTGTTTTCAACTTTATCATTTTTAAGAAAGTTTACTGCTGGTACTACCTTATGTATTTTATTTGCCATATTTTCACCTAAATTTGTAAAAAAAATATTAAACTCTTCGGCTTTTTCTTTGTTATTGTTTATATTATCATTATTTTCTGATTTTATAGATATGTTTTCAATTTGCTTAGTTTTTTTTGTACTACCTGTTATGTCATTAATGATTTTCCATATTTTTTTATAATTGTTTCCGGCTTGTGTAATTTTATTTTGATAATAGTCATTTTTTGTTTTTCTGTAATTCATTTGTTTGGAATGCCTAATATAGTACCAACCCAAAACATTTTAATTTCACAGCCAACTCCAATGACGATTTTTCTCGATATCTCGTATAATACTTCAACTCAAATCTCATAGAATTTCTCCTAAATCCTACTTGAATGGGTATTTTTGATTTTGATGGATTTGTAGGTATTATGCAATGTTTATCTAAAATTAAAATATATTTTCTAATAGACATTGCTTAAGATTTTTTTTAGAAAGGTATAAAGATTATTTTAGATTACGAAATTAAACCAAAAAAATACATTAAATCAATTTTAATACGTGTTTATAATTTTATTTCTCTCTTTTTTAGGTGAAATGATGTTTTTAAATGAAGGGACTTTGTTAAATAATATTCGTATCCGTTACTATAGGGACAAAATTTACGTAAGTTAAAATATTTATTTATTACATATTTTCCTCAATCGATCGTAAGCGGAAAATAGCTTTCCACTCGAATTATACGCAAGATTTTTTCTATGAACACACGATATTACCAATTTAAAATTTTACTTCAATGTTTATTTGACAGGCACCGCTAGCCAAGCTTGTGTTATATGTGTATGTTGTGGTGCCTGCTTACCTACAAATTATAAACGGAATAATGTCTTTATTATTTTAAATATTGTCCAAATATTAAGGAAAATGGTAGAATAGTAGATATTCAACTAAGATATTCAGATTAATATACATTTTGTTTTAAATTACCGATTAGCTTTAATAATGACTACCTTTGTAATGAAAATAAGCAAGCATCAAAGTAACATTGGCGCGCTAGAGCGCCAATAATGTCAATGATAGATTAGATAAACAAAAACACAGCTTCTCAGTAGAAAGGTTTAATATATTTTTGAATACAAGGTACATCTATCACGAAATCAATCATAAAAACAACTAAAATAACTTATATTATAGTAACTATATTATATCGGCCTTACCTAGGAAATACAATTTTAACAGTCAAATTAGGTGGCTCAGTGGTAGAGCCACCGATCTTTATTATTTTACTGGATAGGATATAGGCTATATTTAACATACTAAAAATCCGTTCCACCAAGGAGACCGGAAGTGCAACACTGCTGGCCGATTTGGGCAAATTATGGTGGGATCACAGAACTGAATTTTGGGATAATTTGACATACCTAACCTATAATTCGATTAGTTTTTCTTCTTATTCTTCTTCTATTCCTTCTGCGGGAATGTCCTTCGGGACAATTCACCCATAATTTGATTTTTTTATGAAAGAAAATAAAAAAAGGAAACGTGAAGCATATTGTGTCTTCAGGAATGAACGTTTATTGTTTATATCATAATAATGCTATCCGATACCACCTAAATAAATAAAAAAAAACATCTCATCGTAATTTTTTGACACAATTAAATGACAAATGTGATGACAAATGGAAATAGAGGTTATGTTAAATAACATCCGGTCCTCCGGTCCACCATATTATTTGCCCAAATCGGCCAATTTTTCGGAACGTTTTTTAGGAGGCTATATCCTATCCAGTAAAATAATACAGATCAGTGGGTAGAGCCTCTGCTTGTGGATCCAAGGGTCCCAGGTTCGAATCCCACCATTGGCCGGGATTTTTTTATTTAATTTAATTATTTAAAATTAATTCTGATGCCTTGGTATGATTCCCCACTCGACCATTCACTGTTGGGTTCTAATTAACAGTGCTGTTCCTAAAGTGGCGCTGGGAAACAGTAACAAAGCCTACACAGAACACGAGACTAATGACCTTAGAAGTCGATGGCGATGACACCAAATAAAATAAAATTTAAAAAAAACAGTCAAATTATGACAAATTGCAGAAAACGTCAATTTTCTAGTTAGATTTGAATGTGAAAAAGCCTACTGGGTATAGTTATCGTAGAAAAATCACTGATCTGTATTATTTTACTACAGATCAGTGAGAAAAATATTGAAATTATTCTGATGTGACCAGTAGTGGGATTCTTATCTTTCAATACGGCACGTGTTGAGAAGTATCTATCTTCGTTCGACAGATTGCGATTCGTATGTAATGTCTCTCTCTATTCAACATGTAACGTGTTGAGTTCGCACATAAGAATCCCTGTCCAGGTTACATTTCAACTGGTGTTTTATCGACATCTATCTCGAGCCGTTAGCCTCGTGTTCTGTGTAGGTTATGGAGTTCTATTACTCTCACACCTGTATGCATAGTCGATCGCCAGCGATTCGCCAGAGATTCATCTCGGCGGTATCCCAGCGATCCGCTGGCGAAGGCCATGAACTCTCCAGGATTTCACCGTTCATCAGACAAGAATTCTGATGCACAGTCGTTCGCCGCTAAAAATTGCACACGCGCTTTTATATTTGTTATGGCGAAAAGGTGGCGACTTGCTGGTGATACCGCCGAGATGAATCTCTGGCGATCGACTATGCATATGGGTGTAATACTCCATAGTGTAGTAGGCCTCTTTACTGTGAATTCACTACATATTTTTATAGTGTTTTGTTTTCTTTTCTTTAGTCATACGTAGCAAACATACTAATAGCTGTCAACCCCTACAAAGATATTGCCACTCTCTACGCATCCCAAACTATAAAAAACTACAAGGGTAAATCCCTAGGACAGATGCCGCCGCATGTATTCGCCATAGCAGACAAAGCCTACAGAGACATGCTTGTCTTAAAGCAATCCCAATCTATAATAGTGAGCGGTGAATCTGGAGCAGGCAAGACAGAATCAACGAAGCACTTATTGAAGTTCCTTTGCGACAATTGGGGCGCAGAGGTAGGTACTTTAGAGAAGAAAATTCTAGATGCTAATCCGGTACTTGAAGCCTTCGGTAACGCGAAGACTACCAGAAACAATAATAGCTCTAGATTCGGTAAATTCATCGAGGTGCATTTCGATAAGAAATTTAAAGTTGCTGGCGGACATATTTCGCACTATTTATTAGAAAAATCGAGAATTTGTTCAACGGAAGGCGAAGAACGGAACTACCATATCTTCTACATGCTCCTGGCTGGAGCTCCGGAGTCATTACGAAGTCAGCTTAACCTCACGCAGCCCGATGATTTTAACTATCTTAAAGGTGGTTGTACCAGATACTTCACTTCGCCGTCTACCGATAAAAAAGTCGATGATAGCAGGAAAAGCGCTGATTTTAAGAAACACGGATCTCTGAAGGACATTATTTTGGATGACGTGTTGGGATTTGAAGAGTTAGATCAAGCTTTGTCGAGGTTGGAGATCACTGAAGCTGACAGAGCCCAGATATATGCTACTGTGGCGGCTGTACTACATTTGGGCAACGTTTCGTTTGAAGATAATCCCGAAGATACAAGAGGAGGATGTAGAGTTGTCGGTAAGTATCATTTAAATTAATTTATATACAGTGTGGTGCAATGAAAAGTATCCACTCTTCTTTTCTTGGTTTCCTCGGATTTAAAGAATAAATGCTCGGACACGTCGATTTTTGTTTGGAAGGGGACACTTTTTTTCCTAATTGCATCATTGACACTTCAACACTCGAGCAGTGGGGTGAACAACCTCAGAATTTAGATAGGAAAAGTACTGTGGCACATTTTTGAAAAGGTAATTTTATAAGAAATTCAGTAATACTAGCCTTTCCTGTTTTCCTGAAATTTAATGCACAAATTTTTGTTTATAAAGGGACACATTCGAAGCATATTTTTTAACCCGCATCTGCAACCTCTTGGTGGGGACAATCACACCCTTAAAATTTTAAAGTGGGGAAAGTGGGGAGAAGAGCTAAATATTTTAAAGAGCAAACAATTTATTTTCTTATAATACCCTATTTATTGGATTTTACTTGAACAGTTAATCCGAAAACTTCTTTAGAAACCTCAACCCTGCAGTTTTGGTATTATACATATTGAAAAATTTACTTAAATTTTGGTAATTAAGAGTCAAAACAACTACAATATGTAGGTACTAAATTACTTATTTATTAAAAACTTACGACTGAAATTCCAATAAAAACTAGATCTACTACATCAAAACAAAATAAAATAAGAAAACAATTTAGGCAAACGTTCATTGTGGTTTCTTTACAATTTAGTTACTTTTAAAATTTTAATTTTATTGTAAAAAAAAATGGTTTATTCCATTCCAGAACGAATTATCCCAATAAAAATGTGAATCATTCGTATGTTACCAAAATAGTCCAAAAGTTTTCCAATACTGGATCTATCTGTAATAAGAAAATTTAGATGCAGAGTCGTCAGAAATGAAGCTGTGGAAGTCGCTATTTTAGGACATGTTGAATTGGATCATACGCAAAGTACTCGTCAACTAGCTGAAGTCTCGGGTGTCTCTCGTTCATCTATAATAAGGATTTTAAAAGCTCACAAATTTCATCCGTACAAAACTAGATTAGTACAAGAGCTGAACGAGGATGATCCTGATAGAAGACTGCAGTTTTGTGAAGAAATGAGTCAGTGTTTAATTGCAGATCCTGACTTATTCTTTAATATTTGTTTTGCCGATGAGTGCACATTTCATTTGAATAGATCTTTCAATAGGCATGATTGCCGTTACTGGGATGACAGTAACCCACATTTATTCCGTGAGTATCGTACCCAACACCCTGAAAAAATAAATGTGGTGTGGCATATTAGGTAACCATATTGTAGGACCACTTTTTATTCATGGAAATTTAACTGGTGAAGTGAACCTAAAGGTGCTTGATGAAATTGACTCTCTTGTAACAGAAATATTAGAAAATTACCTAAATCATGATGTTGATCAGTTTCATTTCCAGCAAGATGGAGCACCTCCGCACTATGTTGGTGCTGTAAGAGAATTTTTAAATAACCCCGATCCTGGACAGTGTATTGGAAGGAGAGGCCCAATTGAATGGCCTGCAAGGTCACCGGATTTATCGCCTCTGGACTATTTTCTTTGTGAACACTTGAAAAATAAACGTTTGGCTACGAAGCCTAATTCCATAGAAGATCTTTGCCAACGGATAATAGCTGAGTGCAGGAGAATAAAATCTGAAAATCTACAAAATGTTCGCAATAGATTTTAACAAAATTTGTATTATTGTATGCAAATGGGTGACATTTTCAACACCTGTTAAATTGACGTTTTCATAAATCGTTAAAAAATCAATTGTACAGTTTATTACGTTTTGTACTTTCCTTATCTAAATTTTTGGGGGTTTTCACCCCATACTCGAGTATCGAAGCGTCGATGCTGAAATTAGAGGAAAAAGATGTGTCCTGTTCCAAACAAAAATCGACGTGTCCAAGCATTTCTGCTTCTAGGTGCATAATTTTCATCCTCAAGAGGACGCTAATATCGGAATTTGACGCAACAATATTGGTATTACTGAATTTCCCATAAAATTACCTTTTCAAAAATTTGCCACTCTTGGTACTTTTCCTATCTAAATTCTAGGGGTTGTTCACCCCACTGCTCGAGGGTTGAAGTGTCAATAATGCAATTAGAAAAACAAAAATCGATGTGTCCGAGCATTTCTTCTTTAAATCTGAGGGAATCAAGAAAAGGGGGAATTTCATTGGACCACACTGTATACGGTTAAACATATGTTCCCTGCGATTACCATATTTCCTACAAGCCTTTTAATTACTGTTCTTATATTTTAGCGTCTAAAGAAAAGTACCTCCTAATAGCCTCAAAATTATTAGGAATAGATCCCAGTGAGCTCAAGCAGGCTTTGATCTCACGCGTGATGCAAAGTGCTAGGGGAGGTATGAAGGGTACAGTTATCATGGTTCCTTTGAAGACGTATGAAGCTACTAACGCAAGAGATGCTTTAGCTAAGGCTATTTACAGCAATTTGTTTGACTATATTGTGAATAGAATTAACCAAAGTATACCATTCCAATCTTCCAGTTATTATATTGGAGTTCTGGATATTGCTGGGTTTGGTAAGCAACTTTTGAAATTTTGCTAGAAATTTGTATCCGCACTTCTAAATCTATAAGATTTTTATTCTTGAACCATCATTATTTAATATTTTTTGTAGAATTCTTCACAGTCAACAGCTTTGAGCAGTTCTGCATAAACTACTGCAATGAAAAACTGCAACAATTCTTCAACGATATGATTTTGAAGTATGAGCAAGAACTTTATAAAAGAGAAGGCCTTAGCGTACCTGAAATACAATTTGTGGACAACCAAGACTGTATTGGTGTGTACCTATATTATTTATCAAACCAAATTATATATCTATAATATTCAAAATTCTTTCAGATCTTATTGAAACAAAGAAAGGTGTTTTAACTCTCCTAGATGAAGAATCCAAATTGCCAAAACCTAGTTATACTCATTTTACAGAAGAAGTCCATAAAACATGGCCTAAAGAATTTAGATTGGGTCTGCCAAGGTCGTCTAAACTCAAAGCACATCGCAGCTTAAGGGACAGCGAAGGGTTTTTGATCCGTCATTTTGCTGGAGCTGTATGCTATCAAACGGTAATAGTATATCTTATGATAACGATCTTTGTTTACAACTCCTCGAGTTAAGCACGTTATTTTGTCTATGCTCAGATAACATACATGTACACTACATTACTTGCTTGCTATATTTGGAATATTATAAATTTTACCTGCGGTAAAACCAACATTACAGACCAACATTACAGACCAACATTACAAACCAGCATTACAGACCAACATTACCTACATACAAAAAATTGCTGTTACTATTAGATCGGATAAATAATTTTACTTTGTTTTTAGAAATATTTCATTGATAAAAACAACGATGCACTACATGCTTCTCTAGAAGGTATCATCCAGGAAAGTAGAAGTCAATTTATTAAAACTTTATTCTCAACATCTTGTACTTTGAAAGGTAAACTCACCTTTAGCAGCGTTGGTAATAAATTCAAAATTCAGCTAGGAGAACTAATGGAAAAATTAAGGAGCAATGTAAGTATTGACATTTAAAATAAACGTGAACGGCTTAGAAGCTGCAGATAACGCTTGTTGCTTCTATATTCAATAATTATTTTAGGGTACCAATTTTATTCGTTGTGTCAAACCAAATTCCAAAATGGTGGATCAACAATTCGACGGCAACTTAAGTTTGATGCAACTCAAATGTTCCGGAATGACAACTGTACTGGAACTTATGGAATACGGTTATCCTAGTAGAACGTCTTTCTCAGATCTTCACAATATGTACAAACAATACTTGCCGAAGGAACTATCAGTTTTGACTGCCAAGCAATTTTGCGAGGTAAGAATTCATAGCAGTAAAATTCATATAATAATACAAACAAATGGTTATCGACCGAATTCCTTCACCCAGTTACAATCTTTACTATTATTTCTATCATCTAAGATATCTAATTTAGATTTTCCATACCTACCTGTCAGAATATACAGTGTTATAATAAACATAAATTGATTTATATCAACATAAAGCAACGTAAATTAACAAATGAAAATAAATTACAAAAATTAACAAATTAAAATAAATTAACATAAAATAACACAAATTTACATAAATTAACATAACATAAATGAACATGAACATAAATTAACAAATTAAATTACCATAAACTAACATAAATCATCATAATGATATGAAGTCGTGCCATGTAGGCAACATTCAAGATAATTCAACATAACTTACTATAACTCAACATAATTTTAGACATGAATCACCATGACGCAACATAAATCAATAAAAATTAACTTAAATCAATAACAATCAGGCTAAATTAACATAAATCAACATGATATGAAGTAGTGCCCTCTAGACAACATAACTCACCATAATTTAACATAATTCAACATGAATCGCTATGAATAAAAATAAATCAACATTAACGCTTTCATTGCGGGAACCGGATAAATACGTAAATTAATTTTGTGTTCGTACAACGGGAACCGGATAAATACGCGCGACTTTTTTTTGTATTAATTGCAGGATCTGCAATTCTCATCTTTCAATATGGCACGAGTTGAGAACGTCTATCTTCGTTCGACAGAATGCGATTCTTATGTAATGTCTCTCTCTCTCTATACAACACTCAACGTGGTGAGTTCGCACATAAGAATCCCTGTCCTGATCGAATTTGTTGTTCTATACGTATTCTGTGTTGCCTATAGGTGTGGTAGTTAGTTTCGTTGCAGAAACATTTACAACATTTTTTAAAACTTGAGCGCTTCACTGCGGGAGCCATACGAATCTGCAATTTTTTATCAGGAACGAACTTTAATTTTTTATTTTACTTCGTAATACATTAAATATCTTTTAAGTCTTGTTTTGTTGTTGATGTTGAGGTGATATCTTCTTACATGCAAATTTTATTACTTACTTACGAGTCGGGGATTTCTTAAAGTAGCAATGATTCCCCTTAGCTACATTTATATACTCTAAAATTAGATCAGCTTACTGTACTTTTAAGATTTTAATAACAATTAATTTTTAAAATCTGCACAATATTATAAAGTATTTTGGTTTACAGTGAAATATTAACGCCCGTATGCACCGTATACGTTTAATCCAGATCAAGGGTTTAATCGCGTTTAGTACCATTTTTAGCTATGGTACTAAACGCGATTAAACCCTTGATCTGGATTAAACGTGTACGGTGCATACGGGCGTAAGTGTATTTTAAACTATCAATTTTGTTCAATATTTTTATGTAATAAAAATAGGTGCCTTTTTAAACTCTGTAAGTACCTGTCGTGATTTCTCATCTTTTATATTCTTAGAAGGACTTACAAGAAGTTAGATAATTTAACATAACATTGTTAAAACATGGTTTGTAAATATGTCACCGAACCCGAACTTTACGAAATTTTTAATTTGGTTTCCTAATTTGAAGTTCATTTTTTAATTTTTAATAACATCGTATTTTTCCCGAAATATTTAATTTTGGTTACTTTAGCTTGCTTTTATTATTATTTTAAAATATTTTTTAAATACTCATTGTATGTAGTTGGATATTTTTTTAATTATTTTTAATCAAAACAGTCACCAGTCAAGTTCATAGTCGCCCCTAGATAATTAATTGTAAATACGACTCTGGTTAAAATATACTGATAAACTGCGGAACCCTTATGAGTTCTCTAGAGTATTTCTTGAGCACCAGCTCACAACTGCCGTACTGGAGACAACATTGCTTAAAATGCTAGCCGCAATGAAAAGGTAATCAACATAAATCAACATAATTTAAATATAAATCAACATAGATTAACATAAATCAACATGATGAAGTCGTGCCCTCTAGCTAACATTCAACATAATTTAACAACTCGCCATAATTTAACATAATTCAACATGAATCACCATGAATAAAAATAAATTAACAGAAATCAACAAATCAACATAAATTATTATAAATCAACAATGATATAAAGTGCCCGCTAGGCAACGTTTAAGATAATTAAACATAATTTAACACAATTCAACATGAATCGCCATGAATCAACATAATTCAACATAAATCAACATAAATCAACATAAATCAACATAAATCAACATAAATCGACATAAATCGACATAAATCGACATAAATTAACATTAATCAACAAAAATGAACAAATCCTCATTTATTAACGTAAATAAATATAAACATAAATTAACATTCAAACGACATATTTACATATTTAGACAATCCAACGTAGTCTAACTTATTCAAACATGTTCAAATATATTAAAAAATAAATTATGATAAATCAACATATATTAACAAAATCCACATAAATCATCGTAAAGAAACAAATCAACACAACTCAAATAAATTAACATTAATCAACATATCTTTTCATATAACTGTTATATTAAGTGCCTTATATTGATTCAACTAATTTTACAACTGTCACTGTGAGAATATTTCCACGTTTTCCTAACACACGGTCGTTTTAAAATGGCAACATTTGGTCAAAAATCTTTATAAAATATTGTTTAAAATTACTGTCATGTTCGTTTTTATTAAGTTTTTATTTTGACCATTTTTAGGCAATGCTGCACAGTCTGAATCTTCACGAAAAAGATTTCAAGTTTGGCGTTACCAAAGTTTTCTTCAGGCCTGGAAAGTTTGTAGAGTTCGACAAAATCATGAAATCCGATAGCAGCAACTTGAAAGCGATCGTTGGCCAAGTGAAGAAATGGTTGGTGAAATCTAGATGGATCAAGGCCCAGTTCTGCGTACTGACAGTCATAAAAAGTATGTCGTAATAATTAATAACGTGTAATTTTTCTTTATCTAACGTTTTATTTTAGTGAAAAACAAAATTGCATGGAGACAGAAAGCCTTAATAGTCTTACAGAAATCAGTCAGAGGTTATATAGTACGAAAACAACATGGCCCTAGAATAGCAACACTACGAAACATTAGAAATCTAGATACCAATCTTATACAAATTGAACAAAGTGCACAACAATTGAAGAAAGATAAGGAAGCAGTTGCAAACGAAATTAATAATTTGAAGACACAATTTGTTGCTGCCACAGATAGAATTAAGGTGGCAGCATTTTCTGTGAAAACATACTTCTTTTATTACTTAATTAATTCTAATTTCAGAGAGACGAAAAAATTGATAAAACCACTGCAGAAAACCTGTACAAATCCCTCGTCGAAAAAGTCAACTTACAAATGGCAACCTTACAGAAGAAAATAAAAGAACAGAAAAATGCAGAAGAACAAGAAAGGCTGAGAAAGATACAAGAAGAATTGGAGAGGCAGCGTAAAGAAAAAGAGGAGGAGGAACGTAAAATTCGCGAAGAAGAAGAAAACAGGAAGCTCAGAGCTGAGATGGAAGCTAGGAGAAAGAAGGAGGAGGAAGAGAGGAGGAAACAGGTTAGAAAATGTCTATTAAAGATTGTAGAATTTCACCAAATGAATAATGGATGGATGGATGGATGGATGGATGGATGGATGGATGGATGGATGGATGGATGGATGGATGGATGGATGGATGGATGGATGGATGGATGGATGGATGGATGGATGGATGGATGGATGGATGGATGGATGGATGGATGGATGGATGGATGGATGGATGGATCGGATGGATATAAAAATAAATGAAAATAAATAAATAAAAATAAATAAAAATAAATAAAAATAAATAAAAATAAATAAAAATAAATAAAAATAAATAAAAATAAATAAAAATAAATAAAAATAAATAAAAATAAATAAAAATAAATAAATAAAAATAAATAAAAATAAATAAAAATAAATAAAAATAAATAAAAATAAATAAAAATAAATAAAAATAAATAAAAATAAATAAAAATAAATAAAAATAAATAAAAATAAATAAAAATAAATAAAAATAAATAAAAATAAGTAAAAATAAATAAAAATAAATAAAAATAAATAAAAATAAATAAAAATAAATAAAAATAAATAAAAATAAATAAAAATAAATAAAAATAAATAAAAATAAATAAAAATAAATAAAAATAAATAAAAATAAATAAAAATAAATAAAAATAAATAAAAATAAATAAAAATAAATAAAAATAAATAAAAATAAATAAAAATAAATAAAAATAAATAAAAATAAATAAAAATAAATAAAAATAAATAAAAATAAATAAAAATAAATAAAAATAAATAAAAATAAATAAAAATAAATAAAAATAAATAAAAATAAATAAAAATAAATAAAAATAAATAAAAATAAATAAAAATAAATAAAAATAAATAAAAATAAATAAATAATACCATAAACCTTTTTTTTCTCCTGGGCTCGTCTGACTATGTCTCCGAATAACACTGAATCCTATTGGCTTATTGTGTTTTACCCCATGTTAGTTCAAGCATCCACTCTGTCACCTTTGTACCTTGTACAAGTTTGTACAGATCCTTGGGTGAGTGGGTTCTATACGTTGTTGGATCCACCTGGGGTTGTCCAAAAAGTGCCTGTCTTTTGCGATCTAGAGCTTCGCATTCGCACAGTATGTGTTTGGTCGTTTCTGGTTTCTTGTGACATAGTCGACACATGAGTTCCCCATAGTACATGCCAATTTTATTCAAGTATCCCTTTACTAGGGCGTGCCCAGTCATGAACCCTGTTATCACTTTCAACTGGTTCCTATTCATAAAGAGTAGTTCTCCAGTTCTTTTGGGACATGATCTGCCTATGAAGGCTTTTTCATGTGCCTGTTTTGGGGTGCTTACCCAATAGTTAATATGTTGTTCCCGAATCCAGTCGTTTATGAAACCCCGGACTGTACTTTTTGATACTCCTGGGTTTGTGTCTGGTTCCGGTGTTTCTTCTGACTCTCTTTTTGCAAGTTTGTCAGCCTTTTTGTTGCCTTCGATCCCTTGGTGACCTGGCACCCAAAACAGTTTTGCTCTATTTCGGTCTGCCAGTGTTCTTAGTTCTTCGATGCATTCCCATACCAGCCTCGACGTAACTTTCTGACTCGATATGGCCTTAAGTGCCGCTTGGCTGTCTGACATTATTTGAATATGCTGATTTTCGACAGCTCTTTCAGTGTTCGTTTTTGCACATTTCAAAATTGCGCATACCTCGGCTTGAAATACCGAGGAATGTATTCCTATAGAATAGCTATGGGTTTTTTGGAGAATACTCCCGCCCCAGTGCCTTCCGCAGTCTTAGACCCGTCTGTATACCAGGTTTGTTCCTGTCGTTGGACATTAGGCTCCCTTATGGCGATCTCCGCTCTTTCCTGTATTAAAACCTCAAATGGAGTATTAAAAGAGTACCTCTTGGTTAAGTGGTCTGATCTCATGTCTAGCACGTCTCCTGTCACTAACCTTGAGATACTCATGTGAACTGGCCTAATTTCAAGATTTCCCAGTGTATTCCCTAATCTGTGAGCACCGAATCTTGCATCCCCATGTATCACATAGTGAAGAGGTGAGAGTCCTATTAGTGCTTCCATTGCAGCTGTAGGGGTTGTTTTCATTGCCCCCGTTATTCCGAGGCAGGCAAGTCTTTGTACCTTGCTTAGCCTCGTTATTGCTTTCCTTTGCTGTGTCTTTGGCCACCACACCAAAGCTGCGTATGTTATTATTACCATGAACCTTAAGAAACATATTATCGCTCCATTCGTTTAGGATGTCATGCATTTTTTCTATTAAAAACACGACTCCACGCGGGCAACAGAATAATAAAAAAAAAATATTGTTCCCAAATTTGAATCTTGTGGTACCCCAGTATTTACATGTAAAGCGTTTGACCCATCTCCTAATGGAAAAACACCTCTCAGAATTTTTAGTATGATTTTTTAGATAATAACCCAAGAGGTCAAAGGCACAACCTCTAATACCATAATATTCCAACTTTTCCAACATGTCTCACAATAAAACGCTTTTGTTAGAACAAATAAATTAACACAAAGACATAATTTCATCGAAGGCTTTGATAATACATTCTAATAATTTAATTATACCGTTTGTGTAGATTTATTTTTGCAATAATCAAATTAGTGTTTAGTTAAAATTATTGTTTCAAATAATATATTATTATAACGTTCTTTTAGGAAGAAGCAGATAGAATTCTGGCCCAAAAACTTGCCGAGCAACACGCTAAAGATGAAGAGGAACACAGACGGCTCGAAGAACAGGAAGAGCAAGAGAACCAAGATAGAGAATTGGCACTGCGATTAGCACAAGAAAGTAACGGTTCGATTGAAGAAAGTCCCCCATCTATAAGGAAGTAAGTTTTTTTTATACACTAAAACAATTATTATTTATAAAGTTTAATACATATTTATAAATACTCTACGGATATATAATTCGGATTGCATGCGGTGACTCACTTGTATAAATGCAATAATACATAGGACCGAGGTTGAAACCTTGAGGCACGCCTAATGCAATTCTTGTAAATATTTATCTTTCGTTTTTGATAAACTAATAATTTTAATATTTTAAATTGGAATTATTTTATTTATTTCGACTAAATTCCATATTTTTTTCTATTATCCAGTGGTACAGTTGAACCGGACAAAATCTACAAGTTGAACAGGTATTTATGGGTAGCGTTTGTTCGTAGATTATAACTGACAAATCATATCTAACTATGTTCTTTTTTTTTTAGTTTACTAAACACTATTAACAGGTATAGAGCCTGTCTAGATCATGAGCATCAGTTCATTTTAAGATGGATGCACTAGTCTAGACGGGATATAGATAATTTGTTACTAACTTTTTTTATCATATTTTCGCTTAGATTAACTAAATAATCATTGTGTTCAGTTTTATCAGTAGAGAGTAGAATTTTCTGTTTTAATTTATCACAAAAGATTTATCACTGTTTATTTTATTTTACATAAATACGCGTATGATTACCAAATTTTTCTTGGATTACATTTAGGTGCACTGCATGTATTCCCATCTCCGCAACATGCTCTTATATTTTATTGAGTACCCAAAATTCCGGCCATATTAAGTTTGTTCCAACAAATAAATTTTGTACCGTCCTCTGGACGGTCATAAAACTATTTGAACCAATTCAACGACCAGGCGCTAATTTCATACTGTTTCTTGACGGTACAAAAATATCGAGGGTCCACAGCGAAAACCCAAAAAGTAATAAAATATATTGGCATTTAACGATTTTTTGTTCTTCTGACCCCTCTTTTAATTTCAAATTAAATGCTTTTGATAGTTTGCCTGCGTCAATTTAGGGTACGGATTTCATTAATGTTTTTTTTTTCTAAATTGATGTTTGCTTTAGTTATACCGAAATTAAGCCAATAATGCATCGACTTATCGGATTTTCATTCTACTAATTATTAAAGAGTGATCAGTCAAGTTATTATCCTGTAATGATTAAGTGTGTTTTCAGATGATGTCGGTATATACAGGGTTGGGATAAAGTATGGAACCAAGTAAATATCTTTAAAACGAAAAGGACGATATTTATGAAACTTTGCAGGCAAGTACAATGACGCATAACGCATCTGATGCCATATTTTTTGTTACTACTGTACTTCCGGTTTCACCGGAAATACCCTCAATTTTTTTAATTTAAAGGGGACCCCCTGTATATTTTTACAGATTTTAAAAGATCTTGTTATTCCGAATTCGTACAGTGTCGTACAATATCTTTAAAAATCTACAAAAATATACAGGGTGTCCCCTTTAAATTACAAAAGTTGAGGGTATTTCCGGTGAAACCGGGAGTACAGTAGTAACAAAAAATATGGCATCAGATGCGTTCATAAATATCGTCCTTTTCGTTTTAAAGATATTTACTTGGTTCCATACTTCCTCCCAACCTTGTATTTTAAATGCATTTATGCATACTAAGCCCATATCTTCGTCTGCATGAGTTAAGTTTTCAATGTACGTTAAGAGACGTAAACCTGAGTGTGAAAATTGTGAATTTATTTATCGTAAAATCGCAAATCGAAATCCGAAAAGTCAGAAATGTCTGAAATAAGTGGCTGAATAATTTGAAAATTCTGTTTTCCCCATAGAAAGATCCAAGTACCAGATTTTGAAATTTCGTGTATGAAATTTTGGTATCAATAATAGAAGAGCTAGATGGTATTTTAAAACGTGCAGGAAAATTAAGTTCCTTAATCGAGTTACTGTGTAATGTGATACTTGTTATTTTATCAATTTGTTATAGTGTTTTAAGCTCAAATGATTTTGGGAGTGGGTCAGGTTATTAAATAACTCGTATTAATTTGAAAAAGAAGTTGGGCACCACTATATTTAAAACTTATTATACTTGACTATAGATTAGTGATAAAAATATAGAAAATCACTAACCATTAAGATATTATATTTAAACCAAGTTTTAGATAAGGCAGTAACAAATTCTAATTCACAGAGATTTACTTATTCAAATTTAGATGATTTATTCAAAAAATAGATTTATCTGTTTAACAGGAGGTAGTATACAAGGAGAGATTTGCATAAGCCTTCTTTAAAAGGACTTGAACGAAGTTCTTCGGATAGCACCAAACTCTTAGGTATAAATCTTCATAAACCTAAATCTCCAGAAACTTCTTTAGATATAACTTGAACTAAACCTCCCTTGATAGAAATCCCCATAAACAGTTTTAGAGATGACTCGAAATGAACTTCTTTAGATATAACTCATACGGAACCGTCTAGATATAGCCAGGCTACAAGGAAAAGGTAACAATATTAAGAAAGGAACTAGGAAATTTGCATAGAAACCAGATAAAATGTATTTAACTAATAATTGAACAATTTAAACTATTAAGTGAATAGTTTCACAGAGACCAAAATTAATATGAAAAGGAAAAATCTTATTTAACATATTCAAACATAGTAAAGCATAATATCTCTTCCAAACAAAATAATATATAAAATTATATAAAACGTGTTATCATGTGTTATTCATGTATTGAGGTTATGTTTAAAATTTTCCATTTCATTTAAGAAATTGTTGTACAAAATATATATTTTCAACAAAATATCGGTATTAAATCTTACCTTATAAAATCAGACGGCAAATAAGAATATTAAAAGACAATTAGTACATCAGATGTCCAAGATAATTAAAAATTTAAATCAACCCATTCGTTGACAGATACAAATCGAAATGAATCCGAACCCTTGACGCAAGGCACAAACGACAAATGACATTAGAGTAGAGATGTTTGCGTCAAAATAACGAAAACGGTTCCAACCGTTACAACTGTAACGCAAAATTAATTTCCATGTCTCCTCGCTTTCCTGATGTTATCCTGGTACCAACGTTTTATCAACGAAATTACAACTTTTGGTACTCTGATCTTTTAATTTTTCGTCAGATCTTGATTCGTCTTTAAATGCATTGGTCTTGTAGTTGACAGACTACATAGAATATAGACGTATGTAATGATGGTTGCCTATCAGTACAAATAGACTAAAACAATACACTAAAATACCTCGTCGTATTCCTTTTATTCTGATACATAACATAGTTAACATAACTTGTTGTGTAGTTACTATATAGTCATTACAAATACTTTGACAAATACCATGTAAAATTGTCTTTATTAAAACGAGGTTATTACATGAACATATTTTATTTTATAATGGGCTTTTTTATGGGTAATAATCTGAAATATAACACCAATTAAAAAGTCCAACTACAAACCATAAAGTTTTGAAAGAGCCATATAAAAATAATTGAAATAAAGGACACTGAGCAAAAAAATTACAGGACTGTTTTATTTGCACACCTCATGTTCAAAGGATCGGTTTCAAGTTCTGGCTACTGTTATCCAACGGGTTGAAGAACTATCAACTTTCTTGATTGAAAAGAACAAAATGTCATGATTATAAAACCAAAATATGATAATTGTTTACAAACCACTACTGAACTATTCAAATTGCTTGGTATTTTATCAAGTTAAACTCATAAACATGTTAGAAAGCACAAAAAGTACTTGTATTTAACTTGTATCCTGACTAGTGATCTGTAAGGTAGTTACCTAATTGCTATATCACTACCTAATATAAATCACGACAATACTTACCAAAAAGTAGTTGACGCGACGTTAACAAAATAAAACCACACAATGCATTGTTTTTGACACCTGATTTACCACTAAACACTAAAAAAGTGTATTAAAATAATTGAAATATGTAGAAAAACAAATGACAAAAAAATAAATAACCAAAACAAGTATGTACTTAGGTAGGGGATAATCACGAAATAATTACAAAAACACTGGACTCTCAAATCATAACATAACAAATATTTTATTTACAATAAAAGTATTATTTACATGTCAAATCAACTAATTGAATTCACACTACCGGGTCCTGGAGGACATTTCGTGCAGGTCGAAACCAAGGAGGATAAATCCGCCTACAATAAGTCGTTTGACTTCCACTCTGGAAAATATATCTGCCCTCACTCCTTACCTGTTCGGTATTATTGGGGAATTGTGGTTTATTTTGGAATCGGTAATGGGAAATGGTTGAGGATTTGTCGCGTTTTAGTTGTGGTTGTTTGTCCCCTGAAAAAGCTAGAAAAAACAGGGTTGTCAACAAACAAGCAAATAAAGCGAGGACGGGCGAGGCAGTCCGGTCCTGATTATTGATATAGGCAACCAATTACGCTTAATATGTGTTTTCTCCAAATATTCCGTAATGCGCAAGCGTTATATTTCCTCTAAACATCGCACAGTTGTACTATATTTTATTAGGTCGGCAAGATCTTGTAGCATTCCACTGGTGATGTGTTCAGTGATTATGACAGTAGATAAATGGTTAACACCATCTTGAACAATCTTGTGACGATTGCAAGGTTGTTTGGAATGGGTTAACGTTTTATCTACTGTCACAATCTTCACCATACTTTTTTCTGTTCATACATTTATTCCTCCACTAAGGCAGCCTGGAGTTTCCTCGTCTTCTTTCCTGTGTCATTCGATGTCTGTCGTATTTTTATTGCTAAACTCCATGGCCGGTTTCTGAAATAGTAGATATGTGTTCCGTAGACTTAACAAAGGGATAACTAGAGAAATTTGTTTTCTGAAACGTACAGCAAGAGTTATTTATTCTATAAGTTATTGCATAAATAAAATGTCACTTTGGTGAGATATGTATTCGATAAGTATCTGACACATATCAGCAGATCATAATGTAATATTTTTTATAAATATTAGGAACTATCAGGAAAACAACAAATAAATTTAAAATATATTATTTAAACTCCTCGGATTCTTTCTGTGAAGAAACATTGGGAAATTATAGACATTATTCGCCATTTTTGCGTTAGAAATGATCCTTTTGAAGAATATAGAGACCGTGAATTTAGGGACCGTTTTAAATTTACTAAAAATACATGGTTGGGCTAATCAACATAACATTCCTTTTACACTTCTACCAACGGTATTTTTTATTTTCATTGACATCTGAGGTCAATAACCATCTAGAATAACAGATATTTGTCAAAATCTATAAACTTTATGGAAATTTTATAAAGTTCGCTAACCATTTTCCGATATATAAAAATGGCAACACAACGTTAAATTGTCAAAGTCCATCTAGTGAGAATATGTCAAACCTAGTTATATGATGGATTATTATCGAGCGATAGTTGTCTATAGATAAGTTCTCAGAAACGCTTTATTATTTATTGGACACATTTATTGGACTTTATCGGACCGATTGTTATGGCGGTTTTCCACCAAGCGGACAAAAAAAAACACAAACTCGTGTCAAAAAAAAAACTGCAACTTTGCGTAAACATTTTGAAGACTGGCGTGTTTTGCGACAGTTGGAGTTTTGTTTCTCGAGTCCCGCTCGGGAGCGGTAACATCAAAAGGTTTTCGACGTGTTGTGAAAGTCGAGTCTGTTTATCGGAAACGGTCGTGTTCTGTAGTCTAAATGTAGTACCAAATTAGGTTAAGTCCAAGTATTGTCATTTTTAGGTTTCTATGATGTCACATACATCTTTTAAACTACTTTTATACGTTTTTTCAGTTTGGATCTATCCTAAAAAGTAAATATAAAAATATAAATAAAAAATTGAAAAAAATGTGTTCTGACTTCCTCGCGACAATCAATGGAAAAGAGCCGAAAGCAAAAACACAACTGGAACAAAATGTAGTCCGCTTGATGGAAACAAGAGTTTTGGGTTTGTCTTAGTTTCGTTTTTGTTTTTCAAGTTCCAGAAAACACGAACAGAACATAGACTCAACTGTCCGTAGTGGAAAACCGTCTTTATTCTTTCAATAACGAAATGTATCGGAAACCGGCCATTTTATTCAGTTAGTTGCATTCCAAATTCTGGTTTACATTTACTGGGTTTCTGTATATTATGGTTTATATTTTTATTAAATCCAACCAATTTATGTAGTCGTAACCTTTTAATTATTGGTTATTAATTAATCAAGAACATTTTACTAGTATGCGACTAATAATTGCTTTCTTACATTACACGCCTTGCTACCCCATTTTCCTAATATTTATGTTACAGATCAACTAAAATGGCTGCTTTTTTGGGCATGCTCTAAAATTGAAGACCTTCTTACAAAAATGACAAATGTGCAAAATCAGTTTAAAAAAAAAAAACATTAAACCAGTCCTAAAAAAATTGGCAGAAACGCTCTATATTTGATAGTAAATATCTCTGTTTCTGTGTTACATTTGTGGAAAATCACCGTTTGTGTCAGTAAATAAAACAATTGGCAACTAATTTTCATAGTTAACTCGATTCGGACTAGCACATATGTTGTTTGTGAAAGAAAGTCTTCAATTAAAAAATGAACCATTAACCAACTTTAATTTCATATTGTTTTCGATTTAAATTTATTTTTGCATGGCATGTTTCTAATACTTAACAAAATGCTAGGTAGCATTGAAATGAAATCTTGGAATTATTTTATTTAGCAGTTTTTTTATTATTAATACATTTTTAGATCGGAAGCACATAGAAACCACCAAGCATCTTTGGCAAATAACAAATACGACCTCTCTAAGTGGAAATACTCCGAACTACGTGATACTATTAATACTTCCTGTGATATTGAACTGCTAGAAGCTTGCCGACATGAATTCCATCGCCGCCTTAAGGTAAAAGCCACGTTTAACAAAAACATATTTTATATTTTATTTTTGGTTCTTATACAAGGTGTTTATAAATAAGTGCGAAATATTTGCCCCAGTTATTTTGTTAAAACAAGTTCCTATAAACGTAGGTCAAAATATGTTTCGTTTCCGAGATATATAGTGTTTAAAATTTAATTTTTATTAATTATTTCAAAAAGTTTTAAAGATATTGATTCGACATATGCAAAACTCTTTGGATGGATAAATATGCATTTTTTTGGCGTTCGTGCGGATTAAATTTTTATTTAGAATATTGTATGGTAATGATTGTTTGTTTCAAAAAATATTTTATAAATTTTGTGCGTGAAGACATCTTCCACGAATTCGCGCAACTTAAAATATTCGTTCATTTGCCGCTCATGCTTCTAACGCCCGTATGCACCGTACAAGTTTAATCCACTTCAAGGGTTTAATCGGGTTTAGTACCATTTTTAGCTATGTACCATAATACAAATCATTCTTAATCCGATTTTATTCTAATGCGCTAGTTCAGTGATGATGTAATTATGGTTCCACTGACAATTAAAGTGACAGTAGATTTTTTGAGTGCGTTTTGTTCGTTTTGCTTACCTAAATTATATCGTTTTTTTCACTTTTATAAATATATTTCTAAAGTAAGTGGATAGCATGTATCAAATATACAATCGTTTAGTTACCAATTACATACCTTTAAACTATTTTTATGACCTGTAAACAATATTTTGAAATAAAATAAAAACAGTAAAAACGTATATGTCAAATTTATTGATGTTTTTGTTAAAAGTTTGGTTAGAATTAAATGTCAGTGGAACCAAAATGACATCACACTGAACTAGCGCATTGGTCAATAATTAAATTATTTAATAGAAATTTTTTAACGTCAAAAACATGTCAACGTTTTGTCAGTATATTTGGAACTTTCTATTTTTGTTGCTTTTATAATATACAATGTGGCCCAAATCGGCCCTACATATATACAGATATTGAAAACAATAGGAATATAAAGAAACAGTTAATTGGGAAAATTTTTATACGAATATATTTGCAACTGAAAGCCGTTTAGTAAGTGATTCTATCTTTTTTGTTTTTGAGATATTAAAAACAAAAACAAAAGTTGCGTATTCTAAGCTGTAGTTTTTTTAATGTTCGCTATTTTGGCAATCTGTAAAAACATTTTTAAAGCAACTTTTTATGTAGGTTTCATTTCTCCAATTGGATTTTACACACGACGTTTCATGCCATCATCATGTTCATTTTTTCTTATGGACACTGTATTATATTTTATACCTAAAAGGTAGCTATTGATATCAGCTTTATAACGATATATCACTTATTGGTAAATAAAAGAAATTGACTTGAAAAACAAGAAAATTTATTTTCGCAACACTTACTAATAGTTATATCATAGTTATATCACGTGTTGGCCGTTTTTGACACTTTTTCAACACAGTATTGGTGACCCTACGAATAGTGTTGATATTTATGCTTGCAAATGCATACCTTACTCTTTTTTTTTTAATTCTTGTACGGTTTCAAGAGGTTCAAACTCATAGACTTAATTTTTTACATACCCCATAAATAAAAATCCAGGGGGGCTATATCGAGGGATCTGGTACAGTATTTGAAATTACTTTATTATTAAATGTCTGTCTTAAGAGAATTTGAACGTCCCGAACATTATGTGCGTGTGTTGAAACCGAATAATATTTAGTTGAACTTGAGGAACTTTTGCTCTAATTGTTGGTAAAATTTGCCTTCTAACAGCTCCAAGTATCTTTGGTAAAGTTGACTAATTACCTGCTATGGAGGTGAAATTACTTAATACATACCACACCATACATACCACACCATACATTAAAGCAAAATCGGGTTTGCAGTCCTCGTTGACTTTTCTGTAGCCCAAAAATGATAGTTGTGTCGATTAAACATGCACCCCGCAGTTGGTAAAATGTGTTACGTCGGTCCAAATTACAAGACGACTGTACCCAGGATTTTGACATACCAGTTTGAAAATTGGATTCTTCTTGCATAATCCATTTCTCGCAAACCCTGAACAATAGTAGGCTTGTACGGTCAATACTTACTTAGAACTCTTTGTATGGTACTTCTCGGGGTTAGTAACTTTCTTGCCGCCGTTCTTGTAGATGATGTCGGAGCGGCATTAAAATATTTCCTCACATTTTGATCACGCTCATTATTATCTTCTTTTTTTCGTAATTCTTGGGCTGCGGTTGTTCAAAACTTCCATAGTTTATGTTTCATAACAATTTTTGGAAAAGGTCTTCTACTTTGACGTTGTCTTTTAGGATAATTTCCAGAATATCTTTCTAATGCAAGATTTGCATTTCTGTCGCAACGAATGTAACATTCCAGCATATTAATTTTTTTTTGTGAGAAAAACGCATTGCCATTTTTTTTAAACATTACTAATTATGAAAACTATTACTTTTACTCGTTTTGACAAGTAATCTTCTGTTTAATAAATTTTCAAATGGTAGGTAGTGGTTTAATTGTTAATTTTGGAGAGTTCTAGTGTTGTTGTTAAATTTGACGTGTTGCAAAAATGAATTTTCTTGATTTTTTAAGCCAATTTCATTTATTTACCAATAAGTGAGCCATCGTTGTAAAGCTGACAGCAATAGCTACCTTTTAAGCATAAAAAATACAATATAGTGCCCATAAGAAAAAAATAATCTGATGATGGTATAAAATAACTGAAACGTCGTGTTTAAAAACAATTTTAGAATTGAAATGTACATAAAAAGTTACTTCAAAAACGTTTTTACAGATTACCAAAATAGTGAACAATAAAAAAGCTGCAGTATAATTTAGAAAATGCAGCTTTATGGTTTTTTTAATATCTCCAAAACAAAAAAGGTAGAAATATATTCGTATACAAATTTTCCCATTTAATCGTTTCTCTATATTCTATAGTTTTCAAGATCCCCATATATGTAGGCCCAAATTGAAATAGAATACCAGATTTTCTTGGAAGATGATAAAGATATTCTAGACAAAATTACGAGAATTAATATTTTTATACAATGGGATAGTTTTTTTTTATCTTCTAACGTTAGGTACATCATAATTCTTTAGTTTGGTGGCAAATTCAAAATACAGATGTCGAAATAGTTAAAAATAAATATAAGCAATACATATTGTCACGTTTGTTTAATTTATTTATAGTTTATTTATTTAAAACACACTATTTGCAATTTATTTATGACGTACTAATTAATTTATATAATACTTAGGCACTATTATAACTCACAGTTCTAATTTATTTATTACAATTTATCTTTTCTGTCCAACACTTAAATTCAATCTGCCCGTCCGTCGACAACTCGCGATATTTATATAAAGCCCAACTCTGTACCAGTGATTTCTAGACGATGTCGAATATCTGAGAATTCTATCTTTATGACTCAACGGCCACGTACCGCTTTTTCTGGTAGTTTCGAGAAGCGGTGCGTTTGTCTCTATATAAATAGGGCTAGACAGCGGACCAGAAGTAAATAAAGCACAGGGTTGGCTTTTGCGCGACAATATAATATGTATGTGATTGTGTCCACTTCTAAATTCTGAAAAGATATCACATCTAGTTTTTAACATGCACGGTATAGAGAAGGTATATATTGATATAAAAACATCGTGTATATCAAACTTTCTAAAAATATCCCCAGACTCATAAGAGTAATTTGGCTCTAAAAAAAAATAAATTTTAAATTCTTTAATCTTCTTCGCTTGTCTTTAACGCCTCTATATGTCCCCTTGTCTCCGCCTGTATTCTTTCGGTGTGTGCTCCTTTTATCTGCCTGTCCTGCTCTCTACCGCCTTTGCTTGTCTTTACTTGTTTTCTTTGAATGTCTCTCCCTGGTATCCACTTATCTGCTACTCTATCTCTATCACTGGTTCTATATAAAATTTATAACTTTCTAAATAAAACGTTCTTTACCTTTTATTCTTCTCAACTTCATTTAACTTTTTAACTATAACATTTTTATATATTTTTCTTATAAATTTCTGGTGACATTTTTCAAATCTGACAAACCATAATCCTCTGATGACATTTTGATTTTCACTTAAATTTTGATTTCAATAAACTTCACCACCACAGTGTAATTTAATTTAAATTATAATTTTGATAACGTAAGGAATTTCTATCACATAGGTATATTGTTTTTCAAAAGTATATAAAAGCATGAAATACAGCAGGTTGTGTGTATAGGTATGTTAAAATTACCAAAAATATATGTATTTGCTATCTATGTTATATTATGTTGGGAAAGGGATGTTAATAAACCTAAAAGATCTATGTGCCGTCTGTTGTTAGAGTTGTTGAGGATGGGGTAAAAACTAAAGAAAGAAGTTGGAATAAACTTTACTAAAAACATGTGGTTTTATTTATGACAATATCAAAGACAAGTGACAAGTGAAGTTATAGGTTAAG